TCACGGTATGACAAGTTAAATCCCTGGGTTCTACCATGTCACGGTATGAGATGTTAAATCATCGGGTCCTATCATGTCACGGTATGAGATGTTAAATCATTGGGTCCTACCCTGTCACGGTATGAGAATTGTTGGGTCGTCCTACACTCTCACGGTTTGAGATGTTAAACCATTATGTCCTCCTACCCTGTCACGGTATGAGATGTTGAACCATTATGGCCTCCTACCCTGTCACGGTATGAGCTGTTAAACCATTATGTACTCCTACCCTGTCACGGTTTGAGATGTTAAACCGTTGGGTCCTCCTATCCTGTCACGGTATGATATGTTAAACCATTGGGTCCTCCTACCCTATCACGGTATAAGATGTTAAACCGTTGGGTCCTCCTACCCTGTCACGGTTTGAGATATTAAACCATTGGGTCCACCTACCCTGTCACGGTTTGAGATGTTAAACCATTGGGTCCTCCTACCCTGTCACGGTTTGAGATGTTAAACCGTTGTGTCCTCCTACCCTGTCACGGTATGAGATGTTAAACCGTTGGGTCCTCCTACCCTGTCAGGTTATGAGATGTTAAACCGTTGGGTCCTCCTACCCTGTGTGGTTGAACTCAACTAGAGACACATATCCAGACTCCCGTGCCTACAATTGAAGTCCAATATTTCATGTGAATCCTTAACTCCCCTTACACGCTGACAGGGTGGGGCGGGGTGGCTGATCTCTTTATTCCCTGAAGTGACTCACTAACTTGACATTTTAAATGATGCTTATCTCTCCACTATAATTATAGCCCATTTCTTTTTTTTTTTTTTTTTTTTTTTTTTTTTTTTTTTTAAATCTGAGATGTATGGGACAGAATTCAAAAACATGTAGGCGTCATTTTTAGTGCGTTATTTCCCTTTACAAGTTTTAAACTCAAATTACGTCCAAAATGATAATTGTAATGGCACAAAAGATATTCAAACTCGTTATATAACATTATTATAATTAGCGTATAATTGGAGTATGTTATTATTAATGAATAATAATTTCCGTCGGGAATAAAATCAAAATATCCTTGTAACATGTCAATGTGTTTATTGTCCATATTCAAATACTGAAAGGAATTGAACTCATAATATCCTCCCCTTCGGGGGGGGCCGGGCGCCCCAATTTAATTTTTCTGTATATAAGTTATATAAATATCATTAGGTTCAGACAACTATAAGTCGTTCTGCTAGAGCATGGGTCGGGAACCTTTTTGTCTGAGAGAGCCATGGACACCACATATTTTGAAAAGTAATTCTGTGAGAGCCATGGACACCACATATTTTGAAAAGTGATTCTGTGAGAGCCATGGACACCACATATTTTGAAAAGTAATTCTGTGAGAGCCATGGACACCACATATTTTGAAAAGTAATTCTGTGAGAGTCATGCATTATGTTTAAAACTTAAAAATTCAAGTAAATGTGTGCATTTTGTGTCATTTCAATACTCAATATGCAATAATTATTTTCCTTTAATTACAACGAATGCAGGGTTGCTATTTTTCTGTCTTTTAGGTCAGCGGAGTTATCTTCTTTACCACTTCTGATGCTGAGCTGCAGTAGACTTTAGCTCATTTGTAGAATGAAATGTTGATATGCAATTAATATGTAGATCAAAGGAGTCTAAAGAAACATTTTTTTTTAATCGAACATTTTTCTGCGAACCAGATGCAGCCATTAATAGAGCCACATCTGGCTCGCGAGCCATAGGTTCCCGACCCCTGTTCTAGAAGGTTTCATTTTTTTTTTCCTACAACCGTTTTATGATTATATAAATTATGTCCTCATGAAGTATTTTTAAATTTTAAAAAAAAACTTTTTTTTTTTTAAGCATTTCCCCTTTAAAGAGTTTCCAAGAAAATTATGAAGTAAGACTTAAACGGAATTCTTCTCACATGTTAGTGAGGCTGGAAAATGGTTCATAATTTGGTTGATGTTTTATTTTAACATGTAGCCTTGAATGTAGATGTGATTGAGATAAGTGGATGACATGAATTTTAGATGTGAGATAGATTTACTGTTGATGTAGTGTAGATGTAAAAAAAGAATGTGATGTGATGTCAGTTATAATATATATATAGATTACTTAATGTAGCACAGCCGGAAGTAAAGGTCAAGGATCTGAGTCTTTGACGGTGCAACGGGTTCAAAATGGAATTTCCTGTCTCTTTAAAATCGGCCAAGCGTTTAAATAAGCTCATTTGTTGGATTGCGCACATTTTTGAGGAGTAAGCGTTATTTTTAATTCACTTCACGACTCTTTCTCCGCCCCCTTTTTTTGTTTACATCCAATCAGCATGTACTTCCCTTTTTGTGTGTGTGTGTGTGTGTGTGTGTGTGTTGTGCCCCACTTCCTAGTTATTGGCAGTTCGCATTTTCTTTCCGGACTTGATAGCGAACCTACCTTTTTACCCTCTTTTTTTCTCGTTTTAGTTGTACCCTGGAGAAGGCCACCCCCGCCCCCCCCCCTGTGTTCTGGTGCCGGAAGATGTGTGAGAACCCCCAGGTATTCCTCCTGGACAAAATAATCCAAGACCACGCACACAAATAACACGTGAAGACACTTTTGATAAATACTGATTTATTTATTTTTATTGGTATTCAAGTTTTGGCTATAGATACAAGGAAATATTTCAACACAGCACACTCGAACACAACACAGAAAGAAATAAGACATCAAAGAATTCAAGAAATCCCACTCTGGTATGTCAGACTCCTCGACTGACTAGTGGTCGCGCTGCTTCATCAACACAAACATGCTTTGCTTGATAGAACAGCTCATTTATCATTGTTTAATTATTATATTTAAATACATTTTAATGACAGCAACAATAAGAAAAAAATGTAACCAAAATAAATTTCTTCTGATTTCGAAAAAAAAATTTTTTTTTGCACAAATCGCTACGGTAATTTTAACAAAATATTTTAAACTGTGATATTAATATTATTTTGTTTTGTTTTTGTTTAAAGAAAGGTTTTTTTAAACCTTTGAATGTTTAGTTCTTCAATCTTTCAAATATGTCAACGCAATTAAAAATGTTTTAATTTTTTATTTTTTTTAAAATGTAAAACGATTCAATGGAAAGATTTGAATTTGAAACTATTTTTAATATTAACTATTCATTAAAAAGGAACAGCAGCATTTTCTAAAAAATAGTCGGGGGGGGGGGGGGGGGGAGAGAGAGAGAGTCTCAGTGATGCACCACGTGAATAGTTAAAAGTCAATGAGGAAATCTGCCAATCAGAAACAAGCACATCATTATTTAAATAACGTAAAAGATTTTTGATTTTGGTGGAATTAAAGAAGCCATTCCAATATCAATGCACAAGTATACTTTGCACGATTAAGGCGAGATGATATTATTTGTTGGAAGTAATGATAACATTTATAAATGTATTTTAACGATTCACAGAAGAACAGAGCACGACAAAAGGAATTGCTGTTCCAATATTTCTGGTTATAATTAGGGACGACTATTTTTTCACAATTCTGAGTTTTGATAATTGATAATATAAAAATGCATCAGAGAGTGTCAGAGGGGCTCATAATCCCCCTTGACGCACAACAGCAACAAAGTACATTTAGGCCTACATTGTCAAGATTTACTGAGCCCCAACCAGCAACAAAGTACATTTAGGCCTACATTGTCAAGACTCGCTGAGCCCCAACCAGCAACAAAGTACATTTAGGCCTACATTGTCAAGATCTACTGATCCCCAACCAGCAACAAAGTTAATTTAGGCCTACATTGTCAAGATTTACTGATCCCCAACCAGCAACAAAGTTAATTTAGGCCTACATTGTCAAGACTCGCTGAGCCCCAAAATCATTCAAAGGGATATGCAGTTGAATGACAGTTCGTTGGAAGGAAGTAGCACAACACTTACTTGATAAGTTATTAAAACTGTTTTAGTCAGAGGTGATTCTCCAATGCTTTAAATGTATTAATTTTTAAATTTACTTGGTTTGACTAAGACTACCTGGCAAGACGCCTTTTTAATTAGTGTAGCCCCAAACAGCTCTCAACCCCCTGATTCATCAAGATCATGCACGTAATAAATTCACAATAAAGGTAGATGTTTGAAGTGGATGACTGCCTTGTTCCATGTTAGAATTATTTTATAATTTATTTTTAATAGTGAGTTAATTGCGAGAAGGATAAAGGGGGGCTAAGCAAGAAGCGAACTTTTACTGTAAGTACGGTACGGTTAAGCCCCCTTTTTAAAGAGGGAAAAAAAAAATATTTTGCTCCCTTGCTCTCCAAAAAATGTAGTCTTTGCAATAATCCTAGAGTCCATATTCTGATAGCATCCAAACTTCAAAGGAAAGCGATGTTGATGGCAATCTTAAGGGAACATAACATTACATTTTGTTTGTCCCCGATTTGTTTAAACAACATGTTGCGTGGTTTCAGTACATTCGTTTTCCAACGAAATAGAGATGAGCAATAAAGCGGTCATTTCATTATTATTAGCATTTCATTGGTTGTTTACGCGCCCAAAGTTTATGTCATCTTCTACTCCCCAAATTAGTCTCATCCTCTAATCCACATTTAGTACCATCTTATACTCCCCAAGTTAGTGTCTCATCCTCTACTCCCCAAGTTAGTGTCTCATCCTCTACTCCCCAAGTTAGTGTCTCATCCTCTACTCCCCAAGTTAGTGTCTCATCCTCTACTCCCCAAGTTAGTGTCTCATCCTCTACTCCCCAAGTTAGTGTCTCAT